GTGGGGTGTTTAATATGTTATTGATTGGAGAATCGGGCGCGCTTAGTCCTTGCTGGGCATCCGGAACATGACCACCGACACGTCGTTGACACTGGCGAAGACGAAGCCCTTCCTAGTGCAGATTTATTCGGGTTTCCGTGTGGGGGGTACCGTTCAAACGTTGCGCAGATTCCAAACTTTTCGCCGACGCAGATCGCCCACGTGTCCTTGGCGCCGGGGTACTGAAAAATTCGGCTCAGAGCTTTCTAACGTTGGCCTATCGTGAGGTGGGGTTCCAAAGCCCCACAATTTTCGAAGTAAAAAAGGTTTTAAAGATTTAGAATGTTTTCTTTTGGCTAAAAAATCGATTAAATGGTCGGAAACTTGCAATTCTTTAGTGTTTCACACTTTTGCTGACCTTCTAGTTATGAAAGCTGAACGGTGAAACATGCTATAAAGCCACATATAAACTATGAGCTTTATTTTTGGCGCTAAAACCGATTTAGCGTGGCCTACCATTTCGTTAAGCTTGGCATTCAACAATCGATGAATCTTTTCGGCGCTCCGCGTAAACTCGGTCCGATTTGCGTCGGTGGCATAGACCTGAAAAAAACCAGGGCTCAAGTCTAGGAAACCCTTCCCCCAGCCGACTTTTCAACTTTTCTACCTTGCTTATTTTTATTTTTCGCTACTTTTTTTCGACTGAACTGCAAAGTAGTCTTACTAATTAGCCTACGTCGAACATTTTGGTATACTTTAGAGCTCGCTAGCACAAAGGGGGGCCGAGTTACAAAAGTTGGTGCCTGCTGGGGGGGGGGGGTTTCTAGACTCTTACCAAAACCAGTGAAATTTTCTGTTTTTAAATACCTCGGAAAGGACGCGCTTTACGATTTGCAGCTCCGCGGTTTCCAATTCATTTTCCTGAAAAATTGTTTCTGGCTGAAATGTTTGTTTTCTTTTGACCTGTATGGTGACTTCTGCACTCATTCGGCGTGCAACCGCCGACGGTAAGGCGCGAGTAGAAAATAATGTTTTCTTACGGTGGCCGTGATTTTAAATGACATGCAAGCATTTTCTGTATTCCAATTTCAGGACGGCCTACAACAGCATCATGCGGGAGGCCAACAAGTACATGGGACAATACTGGTTGGACCTGAAGCTCGACGGGAAGCCGGGCGGTGTGGTAGATTTTTGGTGGGTTTTTTTTGTTAAAATTAAATTAGGGGGAATTACCGTATTCGTCCAAAAACTTTTTTTTTTCTTTGTCAGATCGATAAATAGAGGTTAGGAGAACGGGGTTATCGTGAAGAACTAGGTGGCGAACGACCTAGGGCGAAAATGGCTATTATTTTTGAGGTTTGGGCACCGTAAAAGGCGATAGCTGGTTAGGGTACTAATATAAAGTCGCTTTTTGTCTTCTCAAAATATAAATAGCGATCTGAAACAAAGTCATCATCAAATATGAAAAACGTGCACGATAAATAATTTCTAATTCCAGGGCGCGCCTCGGCTACAACTCGACGGCTTGGGAATCTGTGTGCCAAATGGATGCCAATTTCCAGAAGGCACGCCGTGAATTGACCGGCTATACAATCCAGTGTGGTAGGTAACTAGTGTTCTTTAAACACGCCTTTTTAATGCTACTTGGTGCGAGTAATCTTATCTTTTAGTGAACTGTCTGAAGTGGCGCCATGTTCCGTTCAACACCGACTACTTCTTGGGAGGCGTGCCCGAAAAATGGGCGTGCAAGGACCATCCCGATGAGGCTTATCGGGTACCGATTCATTATTTTTTTACTTTTTCATTTTTTTTAGTCATGTGCCGCTAAAGGAGGCCTGAAATCTATCAAAATCGGCAATGATCTATCGTCTGGAAAAGCCAAAAACTCCGACAGGGGTAGAAAGGTATTTTTCGTTTTCTTTCGAGCTGATTGAGTATTCGCAGAGCAGCTAGTTTTTTTCCTCAGACTCCAGAATGTTTTCATAGTCTTTAAAGAAATTGATGGGTTTATGGAAAAACTTTCAAAAATTAAGCAATGTTTGAAACTCATTTTAGGTCGAAAAAATTGGATTTTTCCGCTAATTATGTAAAAGAATCTTTGCCGAAAAATGTTTGCCCCTTGTGAATATGCAGTTGGCGGCTTCAACATTTTTTTAAGTATCCGGGGCATTACTTACGGTTTCTAGCTTTTGAGCCCGAAGCGAGAGACACCTTCATGGCACGAGCTAATGGAAACGGCGCGCCACACAACGTCACAAAATTCGCTCAGAGGCGCGTCGGTTATTGCGATCTCCTCGATCACAAGCAGTACACCCGGCGAGCCACCTGTCGTAAGTCCGCTTTATTAAGCCTCCCATTTTGTTGCATTTAGGCAAAGATCACCGAGTGCATCGAAATTGACGACGATGAAAATGGCACGAGATATGTTCAGCTGGACGATGTAATTGTTTACCACTTTACGCAGTTTGTGTATCTTTCGTTTAGTATGATGATCCGTATGCGCTATTCCACTCCACAATCACGTTATCGGAGGAAGACGTCGAATCAAAGCCCGAAAAACGTGTGGGAACGGTAACTGAGAATCGGTCTAGAAAACGCCACATTTTCAGCCACCTGAACCGTCCGTACGCCAGCAAATTAGCACAACGAACAAGCGTTCACAACCCAGCACCTCCCGTCAGTCGATGCCCGCCATTAAAAGGTCAGTTATTAGCCCTTAAATTTTTTTTAACTTTGGTTTTACAATTTGACCAAAACGTCAATATTTTTCAAAATTGTGCCAAAATTTTTACTTAGTTTTTGACGAGATTGTTTTCCAAGGCTGGCTAAAATAATTCACGAATAAAATAAAATTAATTGCAATTTAGGGCACGGGCCAGTGGAAGCGCGCTCTCCTCCAGTGATGTGAAAAAAGAGCTGGCGGACGTAAATGAAGACTACAGTCAGGTGATTTTGGCCTTTTCTCAATCGTATCTGTGAAGCTTAGCGTCCTATCGACACCCCGACCCGCTCGGCGACTCGTCCCAAGCCATCGAAGCTACGCGTGAAGGTCAGCGCTCCCGTAGCTGCCACTACGCCTCCGTCCAGCGTAAGTTCTTCTTTTTTTTCTGAGTCAACTTTTGTTGTTTTCGCGTGCTCGAGTAGGCGACCATTTTTCCTTCGGTGCCAATTTCTAAAAAAATTTTGCGATCCCATAAACGTAAAATCTATCAATTTTATTTTACAATATAAGAAAATCAACTTTAGGCAAACAAAATTTACTTTTTACCAAAATAGCAATTTTTTGAAATATTTTTGCCAAAGTTTATTTAGTTTTGCACTTGAAGTATAGTCAGATTTACTAAAAACACCATTAAGGGACGGGTGTTACGTTACTAGGCATTTTTGGACTAATAGGCAAAACAAGGGCTCCGCGACGATGCGAAAGAACCGTATTTTTTAGGCAGAAGCTATCAAGACGCTACGCAAAGTTCTACGTGCCGTTTCCGAGCACATGCCGAAGGCTTTCCCGGATGTGGCTGGCATGCCGACTGCCGACATCCTCAAAATCGACTGGGCTGACCTCATCGAGACGATGGTGCAAAAGTCGAAAGACAAGGTAGTTTTTATCATTTTCGAGTAACGACTTTGAATGGGGAACCTAAATTTGGCTATTGGCTACTTTATCCCAGTATAGAAAGTTCATAAAAACTATTTTAACTTGGAATAATTTTGTTTTTTGTGCAAAAAAACCAGCCAAAATTTCAAGCTTTAAATTTTCTTTAGACGGACGCTGAACTCGCCCAGCTACACGCGAAAGAGCGAAAACGGGACAAGGCGCGACTCCGCAAATTTGACCACCCGGCCCTGACGCCGATCAAGGACGCTGCCTGTCGCGTCCTTCGATGGGCTGCTCCAGGCGAGGTAAATTGCTTGGAATTTTCGGGGCTGAATTGTTAGCAGCTCATCTAACCTTTTCAAATCGCCCCGCGGAGGGTGCGAATAATACACGTCATTATGCAGATTTTTACGTCGTTTTGGAAGGACAGAAGTTCATACCAAACATTTCGCATTTTCAACAAGTTTTGTTTTCTAGGCACTGTCCGAAAATTGTCAGCAATTTTAATTCTTGAATTTGCTAGATTTTTATGGCGTGTTAGTGGTGCATTGTAAAGTTACACATTAAAAAGACCACGAAAAATACGGCTGAAACACATTTTTAAAAACAGTTTTAAAAAAAACACTATAACCCCCTTTTTTCAGCCCGTGTACGCGGAGGTGACCCCGGAGACAGCATTGCCCGCCCTGATCATGTTCCGA